AAATAATTAAGTATATTTCTTTTTTATTTGGATTTAGGACAATTTGGATCTAGTTTTTTACACAAAAAGAAGCATGCATAAATTACATAATGAAATTTGTTTAGATACATAAGTGAATAATTGAATACACTATAAATAGAAGTAGATGATAAAACTTAATTCAATTTAATTGGTTGTTGATCATAAGTCTAAATTCCAATTTGAAATAATAAAAAGTCAAAATTCAAAATAATTAAAATACTAAATACAAAATTAAATAAACATTTATAAAATGAATTTTGCTAATTAATCTTATAAATCACTTTTAAATTTAGTTAAATTATAATTTATATTAATATTTTTTATATTAAACGTAATAGCAATAATTAATTTGATAAATTTCAATTCTTTTGAATAAATATTGCCTAATATGATAATCTTAAAATTTTTGATACAATAATAAACATTCTTCAACTGATATAAAGGAGAAAAAGGAGTATATAATGTTTCTCTTAATAAAAAAGTTTCATATTAATTCTAAAAAAATTTAAATTCAATATATTTGTATTTTATTTATTAAAACATTATATAACACTAATTGTTTTTTCAATATAGCTATGCATAACCAGTCAATTTTTTATTTCATTTTCTTGCTTATGATAATCTCTCATTGGTACTTCTATTAATTGAATGTAATTATATGTTATTCTAATTAAAAGCTTAATTTTTCTTTTATTTGAAATTTTTTTTATGTATAAATTTTTATTATATAAAAATATAAAATACATAATTTTAAAACTTAAAATGAAATAAAATAAATTTTTAACCTTGGTATTTGTCATATTTTCTTAAGAAAATTTCAATCTTAGAATAATAAACTTATTGTGTAAAACCTATATAATTTATAATGATTTCATTTTCAACATTAATAATATAAATTTTTATGAATGAAGGTAACTTTGACATAAACACAGTCAAAAGATAGTTACAATGAATTTTATCACATCTTGAAAGAATTAACAAAAAATAATTAATTTTATTTCATTTGATATTTCTCTACTTAGAATAATTCATGTTAAGTTGTTCAATCACCTGGATGACAAAAAAAAGCAAATAATTTAATAAATTGAGAAAGATTAAATGGTCTTGAGATATAAATTAATCATATATATGCACATTAAAATAAAATTTAAAATAAGATTAAATCATTATTATTTCAATCAAGATAAATAATTCTTATAATAATTTGATGGGACCCAATCTTAAACTATTGATAACTCGATCATCTCCTGAATCATTTAATTGTATAGGTCAAAAGTCTAAATAAAGTGTTTAATGAATCACATAGTGTTAATTGTTAATGAAGAATGTGTAATTGATTTATACTTGATTTGATATTAGTTTTTTATTATGAAAATAACATTTATAAAATTTTAAAAGAAAAAGTACAAAAGAAAAATTAATTATAGATGCCAGGCTAGATAGTAAAAACGATATCTTAAATAATTATTTTAAGAAACTAAAAAGATTTAATTATGTTATTGGTAATAAAATTAAATGATCAATTCAGAAAACATATAAATAATAAAATCATTAGCATATATATATATATATATATATATATATATAGTTAATAAATCTATTAAAAAAATTGGAAAGCCAAAAATAGAAAAAAAAAAACGAATATGCTTCAATGATTTAATTATGATTATTTTTAATGAATTTATTTATCAACATAAATTATATATATAACTGTTTTTACAATAATTAAAGAAACAAACCCCAAATAATTGTTCTATTCCTATCCACATTAAACTTCAATCTCATGTTATTTGTATTTTAATTTGATGTAAAAAATTATTTCAATTATTAAAAGAAGTCCAATAATAAAAAAATTATTTAAATTAAAATTTATAAAAAATAACTAATAATATTTTACTCAATCACTTTTAATATTTTTTAAATTAAAATTTTATGAACATGATTTTAATTAATCACTTTTAATACTTTTTAGTTTAATTATAAAAAAAGTTTATAACAAAAAAAAAAGATTCATTTAAATTAAAAATTATAAAAATTTTATTAAGAATATTTTAATCAATCACTTTTAACATTTTTTAAGTAATTTAATTTTACATAAACTCTATTTTTTATTTTAATTGATTTAAATTAAATGTAAATTAATTAATAAACGTTATATATTTAAGGATAAATTTATTAATTTAAAATTTTATAAGGGTATTTAAGTTTATTATGTTTAACACTTTTGAAATTTAAAATTTTATATATAAATAAATAGATAGATAAATTATATATCTTTTAAAAACCTAGTACTTTATTTTTTTTTATAGGTCAATTTTACTTTCATAATTATTTTTTTTATATGTCAACATTTCATTCAAATATTCAATTTACGATTTAATCTTAAATATAAATAATCAATCTGCATTAAACAAATTTATAAGCACTATCGTTCAATCATCTATGACTCTCACTCAATCTTTTGTGAGCACTCTTGCTTGGTCTCTAACAATCCCAATCCTAACACACATTTGTGGACACTCTTATTAACCCTATGAAATATTTACACATCCAATGTCAAAAAACTTTACAATGATACTTATATCTTTCTCTCATATCTCATCTAATGAAGACTCATCGCTATATATATACAAACCAATTCACTAATTCATTAAGTAAACTTTATCGCTAAGAAGTATCTTAGTGAATCTCTCTTTCATCAAAATTTTTGAGATTAATTTAAGCAGGTATGAATTAAGGATTCATCTAATTGTAATTTTATGGCTTAGTGTGATGAAATTGATTGTGATTTTTGGCTTAGTTTAAAGAAAACCTCAATCATGTGATGACAATAAAGCATCAAGAACACTTTCTAAGGAGGCTATTTCACTAATATATTACAAATGGGAAAAAAAAATTATTTACATAGTACAACATGTTTGAGATAATGTTGAACTCAACAAGAAAATAATTAAAATAATTAATTTTATTTTATTTGAAGATATTAATGGATGTCAAAATAATGGTTTAAATATAAAAAACTTATAAATTAAAATTAAGTAATCATTCAAATTTTTATTTTATTATAATTAATTGAGTTCTCAAATATTTATTATCAATTAATTAATTTTTAAAATATTTATTTTCATTTAATTAAACTCTCAGTTGAATGAAAATTAATGATAATGGTTAATTAATATTCATTTAAAAATTTAATTAGATAAAAATAAATATATTTAAAAATTAAATTTATTATAAAAAAAAGGATAAAAACTTAAATAATCAATTTTAATTTAAAAACTTTTTTTGAACATCAACCTAAAATAATGCAACGCCTTCATTTAAATACCTTCCATCACAAATCACAGGCCGGTGCTTCAAAACAAGTTTTCCTCAAAATAATTGGTCTCTAGAAGTTTATTAGAGGGCCATTTTTTTTTAACTGTGATGAAGATATTTAAATTGTTTTCAATATATCAAAGCCAAAAAGACAAGCCAAAAAATGCTTATGATCTCTCATTCGTAGACTTTGATGCCTTTATTTTTTTTTTTTTTATTTGAATAATTTTAAATTTAAATTATTTCAAATTTAGATTATTTTAAATTTAGATAGATTCCAAATATTTAAAGTTCACATTATTTGACATTCATATTATTTTAAATTTGGCCCATTTCAAATTTGATTAATTGTGAGGTAATTATAGTTCTAATATTTTCAAGTTAAATTTTAATCTTTTTGAGTTTTGAATCATTACGATTTTAAATTATTTCAGCTTTAAATTGTTTTAGGTTTATATTATTTCAAATCCGAATTATTTTGAATTTTTTTTTTTTCAAATTTAACACGTCCCAAACTTGAATTATTTTGAATTATTTTTGGATTTTGGTCAAAATTTTGCCTCCCTTACCTATCATAAAAATGATTTGCTCATATTTTGGAAAAGAAAACCAACATTATTTATTGTTGGAGTAAAGAAAATATACAACATTTGCTTAGGATCCATTTGGATCCAACTAGAGTGGCACTACAATGAGACTTTAACCTTTTTTTTATTTCCCTGTAATTATGTTTGGATTCCATTAAAGAGGTTTATTCTAGGTTTGAATTTTATCGCATTTTTATGTCGTACGATTGAATTTATTATATTATTAATTGAATTTAAATATTAATTTTAATAAAATATATTCAACATAAATTTTTTATTTAATTTTTTAATTATAATTATAATAATTTTTTAAATTATAATTACAATAATTATTATTATTATTATTTTTAATCTCATCGTTTAATCAAATCTTAGTAAGACAATCGTGCCGTCATATTTTCACTAAAGGTTTTATGTCCAGTGAGCTTTTATGTCTTCCACCAGGCTTCTTTTTTCAATTTTGCCGTTCACTTTTTTTTTTTTTCATTTTTTTCCTTAAAAATATCATGCCATTGTTTTTTTTTTTTTAATTTTATTTTTATTTAAAAATATTAAAATAACTTTAATAATTTAACATAATAAATAAATTTTATTACATAATAATAAATAATATTAATCTGTATTAATATTTTGATTGAATAAATACTAAATTCTATAATCAATAAATATTTAATAAATTAAAAATTAAACATTTTCTAATTAATATGACTTAACAAAAATTTAATAAATTTATTATATATTAATAAAGAATATTAATATGTATTAATATTTTGATTAAATAAATACTAAATTTTATAATCAAATAAATATTTAATAAATTAAAAATAAATATTTTATAATTAATATGACTTAACAAAAATATATAATTACATAAATAATAAAAATAACAAACTTAAGTATAATGTTTTAATGATTATTTTCTATTTCACTACACTTCATCTTATTTATTGCTGTTTTTGTATTTAAACATAAATTTCACTGTTAATTTTAATTTTATTAATATAGTACTTGACCTCTCCGTTATAATAATTAATTTCATTATCATCGTAACTTTACATCTCATTAGACTTAATCTCACCGCCTATTTAAATGAACCTTGAGCTCATGTTTTACAGAAGAGAGGGGTTTGGCCAGTTGTTTTACCTTTTAGCTTGTAAATTCAATCCCCCATCCGCCAGTTTCATCATCTGATCCAAAAACTTACAAATCGTAGCAACGAAGAAGAAATATACCTTTTTCTTGACGAGAAAAGATTACCACGATCGAGATGGAAGTTCGTATTACTTCAAGGGAAATGGTGAAGCCATCTTCCCCGGATCTTCATCTTCTGAAGCCATTCAAGCTATCACTTCTAGACCAACTCAGTCCACCAAATTATGTTCCATTCATCTTCTTTTACACCAAACATAGTGATTCCCAGTTCGAAAGTTTTGCCCAAGTCTCCGACCATTTAAAAAAATCACTCTCAAAAACCTTGAATCAGTTTTACCCTCTGTCTGGACGGACGAAGAACAACCTCTGTGTTAGCTCTTACGAGGAAGGAGTGCAATATGTTGAAGCCAGGGTAAACGCCTGCCTATCTGATTATATCGAGAAAACAGAGGGTTTATTCCAAACTCTTTTGCTATATTCCAAACTCTTTTGCTATATTCCAAACTCTACAATACCGCAACTAGCTATTCAATTGAGCATCTTCGATTGTGGCGGCATAGCTCTAGCTTTCTGTTGTTGCCACAAGATCCTTGATGCATCAACCGTTTCTGCTTTCCTGAAAAGTTGGGCAGCTTTTAGTCGAGGGTCCAATGGTGAAATTCCAAATCCTGATTTGTTAGAAGCACCGTCACGATTTTTTCCTCCGATTGAGTCTACGCCACCAAATACCAGCATGAAAGGCCTTTTTTTCAACGAAGGCAGGCGTGAGACAAGGAGTTTTGTGTTCGATGCTAATGCAATTGCCACTCTAATGTTCAAAGCCAAAAGCAAACGTTTGGAGCTTCCTAGCCGAGTCGTAGCTCTGAGTGCATTTTTATGGAAACATGCCATCCGGGCTTCTAGATCAACTTCTGGAATTCTAAAACCAGCCATTTTATCCCAGTCAGTGAATATTCGGCAAAAAATGAAGCCACAATTACCCGATTATTCAATTGGAAATCTGTTTCTGTTGCCAATTACCACATATAACTCAGTCGAGAAAGATGTAGAGTTACATGACTTGGCTTATCTAGTGAGAGAAGGAGTGGAAAGTGTCACCGGTGATTTCCTGGAACTTTTTCAAGGTGAAGAAGGATTTAAAGTTATGAGTAACCAACTCAGTCAGATAGCAGAAATTGTCTCAAAAGGAAACGCACAATTTTATATTTTAAGCAGTTGGTTGAATACTCTCGAGGGAAAAGAAGATTTTGGATGGGGAAAGCCGACCTTGTTTAGCATCCCAGGGGTTGATAGTCATAATCGTGAGTTCAGCAATTGCATTATTTTAAAAGGGACAGGGCAGCACAAGGCCATAGAGGCATGGGTCACTTTATCCGACAAAGAGATGGCTTTTTTGGAACAAGATCCCGAGTTCCTCGCATTTGCTTCTCGAAATCCTTAATATGGCAAAATTAAGATTTAACAACATCAAAAAGGTATTCCCAAACTTAAAACCATTGTTGTCAAGACTATTTTTTTCATTTAAAGTTCTGTTTTTTTTTTTTTTTACTTGAAGATGTCAGGATTTAGACCCGGACAAGTAGAACTAAAAAAGAAGCACGACAACACAGCTATTGAAAAGTTGTGTTATTTTCAAAGTCTTCTATGGCGTGTAATTCTCAAATGTATAAAATTTTCTTGAAAACTAGAGTTAGTGCCAAGTAGTTATTATTCATTAGAAGGAATTTTGCTTTCTCAGTTCTTGAGAAAGAGCTGGTTTAACTGTTTGTGAAATATGAAAATTTTCTGGTGCTACTTCATGACTGTTTTTAATGGGAGAAATGGGACTGAGTGGTTTTCTATACTATTAGCATGAGATCCAGGTTTTGGATTAAAGCACAGGAAGAAGTGATAATATTCTCAAATTTAATGTGGATGGATCTGGCAGGGAGAAGCCTGGGTTGATTGGCTTGGTCATGTTACATGCTGTGTCCTAAGAGAATCTTATGTTCCGTTCTTGGGATTTTTTTTCTGTACCTCTAGCTCTAGGTGTTCAAGATTATAATTTTGATGGGTTGATGGCTATTAAAATTACTCTTGCAGGTGTTCTTAATCTGCTCGACTAGGGAAAAAAGGCACTTCTTGTTGAATCTGACTCTTCTAGACCCTGGGACAAATGATCAAATTTAAAGAAATTGACAGCTTAAGAAAAACCAAAGGCATTATGTATTTCGTCGGTGTTTCTTAGGGAAGCCAATCAAGTTGCAAACTCCTTGGCGAAACTTCATTACTCTGTTTATATGTAATGTGCTTTATCATTATCAGCATTCTCTTCAGTTTGCATATATATTACAAAGAAATCCTGCTCTTCATAGCTTATGCTCCCTGGTTTCAATGATGAATTTGATTTCAGTATATTGCTTGATGATGAATTCAGTGTTATAAAAGATCAGTTTTATTATGCGAATAGTGATGAATAAAGATGAACTTCACTGATAAATCCCTCATAGGAGTTGAATTACATCACAAATAAGAAGGTTAAGACTTCTCTGCCTTCTTTGGTTTTTCTAACATAAATAAAATGTCTTATTGCATAAATAATTAGTATAAGATCTAGCTAATAGGTGAAGAAAACATCCCTCTGCCCTTCAAAGCATGCCTCCTTAAACCAGGAATGTGGACATTTCTTATATAATCTTTCCAATCTACGCTTCCCACGTTAAATCCAAAGTTTCTCCTCTTTCCTTCTGACATGAACTCCATTAGTCTGTCAGTTTTGCTATTGTCAAACCTGAGAGTTGTGGATTTGATATTCTCCTATGTCAGTTCTTATGTTTCACATTAATGAAACAAATCCAAACAAGTAAATAAATAAAAGTTGTTGACTCAACAAAATATAAGTCAACAATGATTGGTTAGGCAATTTCTGATCCTGTCTTTCAATTGTAATTTTGTTGTTCCCCACAATCCATGACTCAGAAATAAGAACCGACCAAGACTTAAAGATTGCAGGCAATGTAAAATCCACGACTAATCAGAGATTAATACAACAATTGACTTACCTTCCACCATAGAATCTGTATGGCTCATATATATTAGCCAAATACTTTGCTAGATCCACTGACTTCCCGCATATTGTTTCAAGCTTCCGTTACGGTTTTCCACTCCAAGATGCCACTTCTATCAATCCAGTTCTCTGAATAGCATCTCTCCAGAGGTGAGCAGAAAAATCCTCAATGGAATTAAACAGTTTCATTGATGGAATATGGATTGGACTACCCTTTGAGTCCAGAAAAGGTGAGGAATTGTAGCGCTCATAGAGCACTTTGGCTACCCTGGAAACCAGTGGATTTACAACTGAGGATGCAATGTGGTAGATGTTTTTATCTGGTTTTGGGGTCATTCCATGTCTTGCGATGGCTGCCAAGGTTGCATTGACAACCATGTCTGCTGGAACCTGTTATCCGTCATGGTCAGAATGCAGTAAGCCTCCATGAGTTTAAAATAAAATGTGAGGAATGGGATTTTTTTCAATGTTAATTTATCAAGCACTATAGTACCAAAATTAATACGTGCGAAGTAGACAATGATTACTTACAACATCAAGTACTCCATTCGGATCAACCACGAAACCTGTTAGCTGCCCTTTCCCATAACATAATACTATTGGATCATCATCCTAAGAGAGAAAGAGAGGGGTATCTCAAATTTTGCCAGAAATAGTTGCATCATAGAAAAAGTTCAATAACACTAGGTCGAATTATCACTATTGGTATTTCTCCTCTCAGGCTATTGATCGTCATTTCTCCCATAGCCTTCGTGAACACATACGTGTCTTGCCATCCATATTTTCTAGTGCTGATCAGATGTTAATCATCGTGTCAATACTTTGATTAAATCCCCATTTTTTGTCATATTACATTAACAAAAAAGGAAATGTAGAAAATAAATTAGCGTATTAAGAGTATGATTCTAAATGTTCATTAATCTATTCTCCTCAACCTTCTCAAGCTTAAACCACGTCAATGCCTTTGAATGGAAAAGAAGAGAATGAGAATTCTCACCTTTCTAAACCCAATTCTTTCATTTTCTGAGCCACTTCACTTTCATGACATCCTTCCTTTGAACTTAGAGTCAATACTAACTCATTTTCAACAACTAATTCATGTATGGATATTGGTTTGGTTTCAGAAATCCCTTGCAATGCAATCTCCTATGTCGAACGCCTTTTCCATAATTCTTCCTTGTCTCTGGCCACTAACATATGCTGCACATGAACTAGAACAAATCTCCTGAAGTTTATACATATATCAAGTTGCTTCTGGAATCAAAAAATGCAAAAGTAAACCTAAAAGCTGTACAAGAATTTATATAGGTGCCAGATAAGCCACAAGAATTGACACTAGCAATCAGTTATTCTTGAAGAAATTTCCTCAAATCTCATGAGTTCTCATATTTTGGCATTGATATACTTGCCTGCTGACACTTGCAAAAAGAGTTTAAGTTTCTTGCACTTCTTGGCAAAGCCCATATGGTGAAATTCTCCTCTTGTATTTTTATCTCTAGCAACATCATATCTGCTATTCGATAATCCAATAAATATTAATTAAATTTGCTGTCATTAATGATCAGATTTCACAATTATATCGACATCTTCTGCAATCACATCGCTGAATCACCATCCAATCCAAGATCAGATTCACATACATTTCCTACCACAGGAACTAGTTTGCTCAACATGAAACTATGGTAACTATTCCCATATTTTTGTTGCAGGCACTTGGAAAGCTCTGCATTTATGATATAAAACAAAAACTAAAATTTGATTCAATAGCAAGAAAAATTGTTCAAACATGTGAGAATCAATCAGCACAAGAAAGAAAAGACACAATCATACATAACATACTTTTCAATCTTTCAATTGCGGCTTCTTTGTTTTTAGCCTTGATCAAGAGCAATCTCTTCTCAACATCAGGCACAGTTCGTAAAATCTTCTCAACAGGAACTGCTCATAATTAATATAATAAAAAGATGGTTAAAATGTGTTATAGGTTTCTATACTCTTCGATTTTTAGGAATTTAATCCCTATAGTATTATTTAAAGAAATTTAATCATTAAAATATTATTTTTAAGAAATTTAATCTCTATAGTATTATTTTTTAAGGAATTTAATTCAAGTACATTGTTAACAATTGAACTGAAATTCTTAAAAAATAATTTATAAGGATTATATCCTTTTAAATAATACTAGATGGATTAAATTCCTAAAAATAAAAAAGTACAGGGATCTTGTGGCACATTTTGATCTAAAAAGATTGAATAATGTAAAGTTATGAAAGTAAAATGAAAATGATGAGTAGAAAAAAATTGCCTTTGGCAAGAAATCCAGTTGAACCAGTAACAAAAAATCCTTCCCTCTAAGAAACTTAACAATGCCAATGCCCTATTGCAGCTCAGCTAAAGAATTAGTTGATCCTCCATAAGGCACCAAATCTTTAACTGCAATATCTGCTGACTGTTCCCATTTTGGTTTTGGTGACACCATTAAGCTTCATGCATCCATAATGGCTGCATTGCGATTAGCATTAACCATTTTCGGTCTTTGTCTCAAAACTGAAGAAACCCCACTAATCTTCATGGCACTGCTTCTTCCTTGGCAATGCACAAAAATGCTGTTCTTTCTCCATGAGTTACATTTATTGGAAACTGTTGCAACTTTGCTTGGTGCAACAGAGAAAGAATTGAGGAACAAAGCCCCCTTCAGGTTCCAAGAAAAAGAGAAGTTGAGAAGGGATAAAAGTATGATCAACCAACTAAAGCATTTTTGGTAGTTAAAATGGAAAATTTGCTGGCTTAACAACTTAGAACTAATAAACTGACTGTGGCCTATAAAAAAAAAAAAAGAAAAATTGTTTGGTTTGGAATTATAAAAAGAAATTGAAAGGAGAATTAAAAAAAGGAATTAAGAAGAATGAGTTGGTATAATTTAATATTTATTTGATCTTATTTAAAGAGAGATTTCATGCAAAGGCTCTCTTTATGCCATTTCTTTCAACAATCACACTTCTCATCAGGGGCTAAGGTGGAGGAAGTTGTTTTTGCTTGATTATATATGTATCTTCGGACAATTACTCACTTGACTATATATTTGGATTTTAAAATATTAGAAAAGGGTTAGAGCTAACAATTTTCGTGTTTTATAAAATATTAGTACAAAAATTATGAAATATATTTTTTATTAAATTTATTTATAACTTTTGTTAAATTCTTAAATTATTTTATTTTTATAATTTTTTATTTTTTTAATATTATATCATCTTATCATGATCAAATTAAAATAAAGGAATGGAATGGAGTGCGTAGGCAAGCGTAGGTTGGGGTTTGGGCCATAGTAATTTAGCTTATAGGGTCTATATGCTTTGTTTCGTTGCTGAAAAAAACGCTAGAAAAATTGACGATGAAAGATGATGAAAAAACGAAGACAGATTCGAAATCGAACAAATGGGGCCAAAAAGGATAGTTATATTCCGACCTGACCTGATTAAAAGCCCATGAGACTGGAATTGAACCGGACCGGAATGGGGACAATTCAGCAAACCAAACAGGGAGGCGGAGTTTTCGGTCGACGTAAAGGACCGTTAAAACAGTTAAATATAAAAACAAAAAAAAAAAAAGGGAAGCTACTCTAATTTTACCTTTGGCCTTTTCAGATATTCATTTTTCTCTTTTGAGAGAACGAGAGCCATTTAAAAAAAAAAAAAACTTAAAAGCCAATTTTGAGTGTCAAATCCTCGAATTACTTTGATCAGATATCTGGACTCTTCAGCATTTCAAAATGATGGAGGTATTTCTCTCTTTCTTTTTTTTTTTTTTTTCTTTTTGTACTTTTCGTGCCACATCTGATTAATGGAATAATTAGAATAATTAGAATCTGGTTCTTCAATTTTTATCCTTTCAAGATTACGAATTTAATGCATTTTAGGTTTTTCTTTTGTTTCGTTGTCCTGAAATTGGGAGTGCTTATATTGAAAGTTTTGGTGATTGGATCTTTGGAAAATTAATTGGGATTTGGTCAATATCAAATTAAGCACAAAGAATGAGCCAACGATTAAAAAAAGATGAAAATTTGTGCTTAGTTAGGATGGAAATTATTCCTTTTCAAAATTTTCATATTTTTTTTAGGATAGGACCTGCAAATCATTGAATTTATGACATTATATGGCCACATTTACAGAAATTAAAAGAATTTGTTGCACTCCATCTTTTTGCCATATGAAATCCAAGGCTGGTCGATATTTATGAAGAATTTTTTAATTTTTATTATTCTTATGAGTTAATTTTAAAGAGAGAATCATAATCATTTGCTGGAGCTTCCTTTTCCTTTTTTTTTTTTGGTGAATTTGAGGGGGCTGATTTGGGTGAAGGTCCAGATGTAGACAAGGCCGTGGCTGT